CTCTCTGATACCTATACCCCTCGGTCTCAGTCTGTCTCTCTGTCCTTCTGCCTGCCTGTCTGTCTTGCACTGTTCCTCTCTCTCTCTCTCTCTCTCTCTCTCTCTCTCTCTCTCTCTCTCTCTCTCTCTCTCTCACTTCCCTCCCCCTCCTCTCTCTCTCTTTCTCTCTCTTCGCCCTTTCGTTGTCTCTCTCTCCCTCTCTCTCTCTCTCTCTCTCTCTCTCTCTCTCTCTCTCTCTCCCCCCTCTCTCTTTCTCTCTTTCTCTCTCTCTCTCTCTCTCTCTCTCTCTCTGTCTCTGCCTATCTATGTCGGTGTTTGTAATGTGATGGTTAAGCTTTTTGAATTCAGTTCCCGAGTATTGCTGTCGTCTTTAAACGAGTATCTCCGACCAGTGAGCTGTAATGCTGTCTTCTGCTCAGCACGAGCGACCCTGACAGAGTCACAGCTGATCGTCTTCCAAAAAATCTGTATTGTGTCGATGAAGACGTAAAACATTAACAACCATTTACAATCTTTATTCTAGTATTGCTTAGACAAGCTGTCTCAAGGTGGGTGTGCTTGGTGTTATTCATAATGTAATATTGACTGCATGAGTACGCAAACTTACTCACAACTGTGTGCGACCAATGGTATCGTTGAGGGAAAGAAAAGGTCAATAGCACTGACGAAAATAAGTTTTAACAATAATTTCGTAAAGAAAATGAGAAGAAAAAGCACTATGAAATGTCAAGAAATGACAAAACTTTGCGTTAGGAGAAGAAAGAAAGTGCGACAAAGAGCAAAAAAACACCAAGACGGAAAGTGACAAAGAAAGAATGGAGACTGTAAAACGATCGATTTCAAGTTGCCCTCTCCACCATCGTTTTCTCGGGGTCGTGAAGAGCTGCCGTGTTCCCGACCATCTGTTCGCTCGGCAGATCCTCACTCGACCCTGCTTCCTTCTTATCGGGCTGTCCTCTTTTGAAAGATTGGATTTAGAACGTCCGGCTGGCTTTTGAATTCTGAGCTACTGTAATCCTTTAGAAAACAGTAAATGGGACGCTTAAACCTTTCATGAAGTGTCATTTAAATCTGTTGTTTAGGGAAAAACACGATATAGTTAAATCTTTTATCATGAAGAGCATTTTCAGTTTGTCGCCCAATAGGCCCAGCGTAAGAAAGTTTTATGTACAACAATGCTATGACACAGATGGGTTCTTACTGACCCATGGTTCACGCACTCTCTAACATGAGTTATTAATCTTTGTGATGGTTCTGACGTTTCTTAATAAACAATAACGCATCTATTGCAGAGTAAAAATCCTTTGTGGCCACAGCTGGTGGGTTGGTCTGAGTAATTCAATATAACACTCGGCGAAAGGAGCGTCTCGTTTCGGTGTCCATTCAAATGGTTTAATTGCTCTGTTACTCCAAAGGTCAGATCGTTTTCCATATGAAATGTGAAAAACATTTTTTTAAATCGAGCTCAACTCTCAACAATGATACGTTTCAATACATTTCGTGAGTCCACGAATAATAGTTTTACTATTAGAAAGGAGTCACATTCAATGTTCTCAACTCCCACACAGTGTTGAAATCGGCTGGCATTTTAAAATTCAATGTGAGAACACGTTTTTAAAACGTTACTACGATTAACTATAGCCAGAATACATTTGGTTGTATTTGGAGCCTTGAAGACGACTCATAAATTATTACCTCAACGTTCTGGCCTAACCCTTATTGAAGAGACGTAAACGTATTTGTGGGTGAAGCGGAACCCACAATACTTGAGCACACATAGGCACAAGAAACAAAATACATATAAAAATAAAAACACATGGCATGGAATGACAGAGAAAACAGACGACAGATGAAATGTTTTAGAACCCGTGGAAAAAATGATAAGTATGCCTTTGTGTTTGATCACCATTGTAGCGTCCTTTCTAATGCACCTCCCCAAAAAACCCGAACAAACCAAACATAATAAATAAAATGTTAGAAATTAAATGAAGGTAATTGAAAATGAAAATTAAAAAACCTCCCTCGAGTGTGTATGAGATAGACGCCCATATATTATATATATATATATATATATATATATATATATATATATATATATATATATATATATATATATATATATATATATATATATACACGACCTCCGAATGAAACGTCTTTCTCCGCGAGGCACAGCAATTTCCATTGGAAATTTGAACTTAGGTCACCTATATCACTGTGAAGCATTGTATTGGCAGAGCGTATTTAAAGAGGTTGCCCATCCGTGGGCATTCATAACTGCGTCGCATAGGCCGCACAATCTTTTAAATCAAGCTATCTTTGGTTAAACAGAAAAGCACTCAATTTGATATGCCATTTCGACATTTTTAAAGAGAATTTACAGAGAAATATTGTTCATTATGTAGTCGGTAATCAAAGACTCGCTAGAGGTCAAAATGGGTTTTGTTGTTGCTGTTGTTGCTGTTTTCAAAAGAAAAGGGGTAAACTTTTCATAAATCAA